CTGTCCTGTATCCTTGAATACCTAGAACAGTGATCCCTCCCTCCATCCTCACTCCAACTTCCAGAGCACAGACTGTTCCTGTTGGTAAGTGGTAGGAATATGGGCTCCAAGCTGATTCTGCTCAACCTGGAAGGCAGCTTACTCAAATACAGCATTCCTCAGTGATAAGCCTTAAGACTTCTGTCAAACCTTAGGACCGATTTTATTTAAATTCCTCTTCTACAGAAAAACACAATTACTTCCCAAAACCAGATCAAAGTTATGAAAGTTACATTCAAAGTAGAAGTTTAAAGACACTCATAGCTCACTTGATGCATCCCTCACCCATCTCTTAACAGCTTTCAGTGCTCCTCGGTGTCAACACAAAACCACCAGCATTGGAACACCAAACACAGGTGTTGACGCAAAACTATAACTCTCACCTCAAAGAGGATTACAGATAGTCTATTCTGGTGCCAAATATGAATGACCATGGCCCAGGAACACAGATTCAGGTTGCCCCAAATTCCATGTTCCAGCATGGTAACAGTTGCATTACATTTTTATAGTAACAGAACAAAGAAGTATAAATCAAGACACTTTTCAAATGTATTGGTGGGTACATTCAGTAGGTGGGTCACACCAAAGCAGGAGGGTTCTTACTATAGGTGTCAGATGTTATCTGATGACATAGCTTTTGGATTGGTGAGACATGGTGGTCTGTTAGTTAATACATTCTAAAAGGTTTTTATCTGTTAGTCAAAGGATGTTAGATCAGAAACAAAGGTGGGTAAGGAGTGGCTGTTTAGGGGGCTAAAGATGGCCCAAGATAAATGGTAATTAGACTCTGGACCTGCAACATTCCAAACTCTCCACAGTCTCCAGAGTAATAATCAGTTGGTCAGCTTTGCAGGAAGTTCAGTCCAAGGCACAGGAGTTCTTTTTGGGAACTTTTCTTTCACACAGGTCATTTTTAATTTATCTTGAATGATAAACTCAATCACATTATAAGACAGTCAGCCCCTCTCCAGTTCTAAGGCTACTTCAAGTTATGGCAAGTCAAGCAGCTCTACTTCTGCATTTTCTAGTTAAAACAACAATGATTTTTAATCAGAGCCAGAAAAGGGCTTGCAGAGAGTAATTCATGAGGCTAGAGACAAAGGGGCTCCTCTGAGTAAGGAAAATAACCAGTTTCTCCATTCAGTCTGCAGCTCCAGGAATCGAATGATTCTTCATTTCAAAAATGAAAATGATAGTAAGTCTCCCTCGTGTTGACAGCAGGTGATTTTTAACTCCACTGCCTGACAAGCACCCACAGGCTATGCTTGGCCTGAATCTGTCCACTTTGGAAATGCCAATTAGTAGCTTCTCAAAAGCAAATCCCAACATAAGCCATTAGAAAAAAGGTGCTTTCAAAATGCCAAATAGAACAGGATAGTCAAGCTCACCATGAAAAGACAAAAATGTGGATGCCCAATCTAGGCTGCCACTGCCAAAACCAAGTGACAAGCCAAGAAAGGATCAAATTCTCCAACCAGTTATGAGCTCATTCTCTTAAACACAAAGACTATCACAGCAATCTGGGAGGCATCTCCACTCCTGACCTTAGCCATTCTCAGCTGGGTTCCATACGAGAAGCTCTAGCACCCTAAGGCACAGAGGCTGGCAGCTATTTCTCCAAGTATTTCAGGCTCTGGGTCATGTAGCCCATGTCACAAACACTCAGTTTTGCCACTGAAGCACAAAAGCAGCCATCAACCACAAGTAAATGAGCATTGACTGTATTCTAATAAAGTTTTACAGTTGCTGAAATTAGAGTTTCATGTAATTTTCACAGAAATTTTTTTCTTTTTTTACAAAACTGAGAATTTCATACATACATATAAGATGTTTTGATCAAATCCATGCCTACACGCTCCCTTCCAACATTCCCCCCTCCAAAGAGGTAACCCTAAAATATTTTAAGGATTAGATACAAGCTCCCAAATACTTTTGATATTTTCAGCCTTGGAAGACAGTATGTTCCTAACAGGCCCAAGGACATTTTGACTTTTAACCAAGCAACTGGCTACATTTCTTTGGGGTCTTTTTACCCTAACTGCCTAGCCAATTCTTACCTCCTATTCTTATCACACCATCCTCTAAAGGGGTTACCCAAATTGCCAATAGGGAATAGGGACCCTGACCGCTCTGGCTTCTTCCATGCTGAACAGGGACACAGGGTGAGGCAACTGGAGTACCCCTTCAGTGGGTCTATCTAAAAGACTCCCAATTGCATAACTCTTGTCCCTAAGGGGAGAATAAAGTCCTTGAATATGAATGGGAGATGTGGAGGAGAAGTAAATGCAAGAGAAATTAGCATTACAAATTCTAGACAGGGAACTAGATAAAAGTCAGAACAGAGCAATTTTCAAATGTTCATGTGAGAGTCCATTGGAGTTTCTTGACAAGGACTTCCAAAAGCATCCCTCTATTGGGTTCTTCCTCATTTTTCTTTTGTCTTCCAAGGCTGGACTAGTTGGCTTGGAAGAGTGTCTGGATACTCAGGTCACCATTCAGTGACCCTGCTTGGCACTCCTTTAATGAATGAGCACAACCATTCTTTTTTCAACAAGCTATTCTTTTATTAATACTTTTAATTCATTGGGCAGATTTGGCCCAGTGAGGGAATTTGTTAACATTTTTGCAAGTAATAGCTTCAAGAGTTAAAGGCTGACTTCTTGCCTGTGCATCTAGAATGATGCTGATATGTGCCATATAATGAAGAAAGGAGAAATCTTCTCTTTCCACAGTGCTGATTATCTAGTACTCTGCTTTTAACTGACTGATGAGATTTTATTAGCATTTGTCAACTTGGGCAAATAACTTATAACTCTCAAATTAAAACTATATGAATATATATGTATGTACAAAGGAACAAGTACTACACTGAACCAGCAGTGGTGGTGCACACCTTTGGTCCCAGCACCCAGAAGGCAGAGGCAGGCAGATCTCTGTGAGATATAGGCTAGTCTGGTCCTATCATCATGAGTCCCAGGCAGGCTGGGGCTACAAGGGGACCCTGTATCAAAAAAAAAAACAAAAAACAAAAAAAACACAACAAAAGGTTGGGCATGGTGGTGCAGGCCTTTAGTCCCAGCACTCAGGAGGCAGAGGCAGGATGATCTCAGTGAGTTCAAGGCCAGCCTTGTCTACATAGTGAGTTCCAGGCCAGCTGGGGATACAGATAGACCCTGTCTCAAGAAAGGCCAAAAAAAAAAAAAAAAAATCATGAACTGTGCAGGTAAATGGATGGAACTAGAAACTGTTATACTAAGTGAAGTAATACAAACTCAGAAAAAAATCGACTTATATTCTCTCTCATATGTGGATCCTAGAACCAAATCCTGATAAGTATGTATTCTGACATAACTACAGGAACCAGGATAATGGAAAGGAAACAGGGAGGTAAAGAAAGAACCTGAGAGAGAAGAACAGTAGGAAACAGGCATTAGTTAGGGAGATACAGATAAAAATTGGGTTAGTTTAAGGGAGGGGGTAGGGAAGGGTATACTAAGAACCTAGGGGATAAATGAAAAGAAGGAGCTCAAGAGAGGTAGGACCATAGGAGAAGGGTATTATTAAGGGAAAAGGGGGGAAATGGGGGCACCTTAATTGGGGAAACCATGATTGAGGGGTTAGACAATGCAAGAGATAAATGATGCCTACGTAGTTTTGAAAACTGGAGGGAACCATATTAGTCCAACAACCTACTGACAAATTATACATATGAGATCAAGAAATATACATCTAGGCAAGGTTTATCTGAGAACAATTTGTCTCTGCCCAAGATTCATCTACATGGCACACAGTAATTAAAAGTACCACTGGGTGTGGTGGTGCACACCTATAGTCCCAGCACTTGGGAGGCAGAGGCAGGCGGATCTCTGTGAGTTCAAGGCCAGCCTGATGTACATAGTGAGTTCCAGGACAGCTGGCAATACAGGGAGACCCTGCTTCAAAAAGACAGAAAAAAAAAAAAAAAAAAAAGGACCAGGGGGGGGGAAAAAATTGTAGAGAAAGGGGAATTCTTTTGAAGGACCCGACTGACAGCAGGAAGGCCATTTTAGAAAAAGAACTGTAATCAGCCATTCGATAAGCCAAGATTCTAACCCAGGTCTTGTGAAACTAGCAGTGGAAGATAGGACGTTTGCAGTCGGACCACCTGCCACCACCCTGAGGCCCCTACCGGGAAGTTAGTGATAACAGCCCCTACTGGGAAGTTAACGATAACAATCGGTTTCACCCATAGCCCCCTCTGAATTTGGCAATACTGTTTCCTCATACCTTGTACCCATTGAAATGCACTAATAATAATCTTGTAACCATGCATCTGCTTCTGTACCTTGCTTCTGCTCTATAAAAAGCCCCCCCCAAACTAAGCCCGGCGCGCAAGTCCTGACCCGAGCGGGACTCTGCGTCCGCAGGCGCCTGTGTACGAATAAACTCCTCTTGCTTTTGCATCCCGAAACTTGGTTTTGTCCCTGTGTGTTAAGCGTGATTCTTCATTTGGAGGTTCCACTGAGATCCCTGCCGTGCAGTGCCGGGGACAACCCAGGTTTCCCGGGGAGGTAAGCCGGCCGGCCCTTTTGTGTGTTTTTGTGTGTTGTATGTGTATTGGTGTCTCTGTTTCTCTGTTTTTTTGTCTTGCTCTTTGTTCTCGGCGTGAGACTCACGGTCTGGTTTGGGGCGGTGGTGGACAGGGACTGACAAGACCGGGAAGTCCCCCCCCCCTCGGGGATACCCGACGGGATCTGAGAGCCCGCTGTGTGGGGCTCAAGAACGAAAGTCCCGGGAAACCGAATGGGAGCCCGCCTTTTTGGGGCCCAGTACGTTTCTGAGGGATTCGTTCATCTGTTCGGAGGGGAAGAGGTGCCGCCTCCATCTGGTGTCAGGCCCTCGATCTGGTTCACCAGGCGAGGGAGCGCAGCGTTTCTGTTTGCCGGCTGTCTGTGTCTCCTTTGTGTTGTATTCACTCTTGTTGTTGTCAACTCATTCCCAGTCACTATGGGACAAGATTTAACCACCCCTCTTAGCCTTACTTTAGATCATTGGCGCGAGGTGAAGACCAGAGCCTCCAATCAATCAGTGGAGATCAAGAAAAACAAGTGGACCGCCCTGTGTTCATCCGAGTGGCCCACCTTTGACATCGGGTGGCCACGCGATGGCACTTTTGACTTGAACCTTATTTCCCAGGTCAAGGCGCGAGTCTTCAGACCAGGACCCTATGGACATCCAGATCAGATTCCATACATCGTCACTTGGGAAAGCCTTTCCTTTGACCCCCCTCCGTGGGTCTCCCCTTTTCTCTCTCCCAAGGCAGTCCCCCAGACCCCCTCGGCGCCCTTGCCAATGGACCCCTCCCCTTCCCTCTCACTCTGCCCTGTAGTGCTCAAAACCAAGCCTGTTATCCCCCCCGATGATTCCGCTCTAAATCCCCTTCTCGAAGACTCTCCTCCCCCTTACCCGCCTCTGCCCCCTGCGCCCGGAGCCCAGCCCCAGGTTCGCTCTAAACCCCCTTCTCGAAGACTCCCCGCCCCCTTACCCGCCTCTGCCCCCTGCGCCCGGAGCCCAGCCCCAGGTTCAAGCGCCCCTGGTTCCGGTTGTTGCGGCGATAGATCACACTCCCAGGACGTCCTCCCCGATCGCTGGGAGGTTGCGAGAGCGAAGAGGACACCAAGGGGATTCTTCTCACATACTTCCTCTCCAGGTGGGACCAGGGCCGGGCAACCAACTTCAGTACTGGCCCTTTTCTGCCTCTGACTTGTATAACTGGAAACAACATAACCCGCCCTTCTCCCAAGACCCTGTAGCCCTAACTAACCTCCTGGAGTCTATCCTTCTAACTCACCAGCCCACCTGGGATGATTGCCAACAGCTCCTCCAAGTCCTCCTCACGACAGAGGAGAAACAGAGGGTCATTCTGGAAGCCCGTAAACAGGTTCCCGGGGCGGATGGAAGACCCACCCAGCTGCCCAACGAAATAGAAGCTGCTTTTCCCTTGACCAGACCAGATTGGGACTTCACTACACCTGAAGGTAGGGGACACCTACGCCTTTATCGCCAGTTGCTCACAGCGGGCCTCCGAGCAGCGGGGCGACGCCCCACCAATTTGGCCAAGGTAAGATCAGTAGTACAAGGGCAGGAGGAGTCACCGACGGTATTCTTAGAGAGACTAAAGGAAGCATATCGGAGGTTCACCCCCTTCGATCCAGATAGCCCTGAGCAAGAAGTGAGTGTCTCTATGTCCTTTATTTGGCAGTCTGCCCCTGACATTAAGGTGAAGCTCCAAAGAATGGAAAACCTACAGGGACAGAGGTTACAAGATCTACTCAGGGAAGCAGAAAAAAATTATAATAAAAGAGAAACTCAAGAAGAAAGAGAAGAAAGACAAAGGAGAGAGGCAGAGGATAGGGAAAATGCAAGAGACAAGAGGCGAAACAAGGAATTAAGCAGGATACTGGCCACTGTAGTGAGAGACAGGGAAGAGTCTAGAGGAGATAGGAAAGGAGGCAGAGGCAGGGCCCCATTAGACAGAGACCAATGTGCCTACTGCAAAGAGAAAGGCCACTGGGCAAGAGATTGCCCTAAAAAGAAATCAAGAACAAGAGAGTCCACTCTCCTAACCCTCGACTAGGGGGGTCGGGGCCAGGACCCCCCACCTGAGCCCAGGGTAACTCTTCGAGTGGGGGGCAAGCCAGTTACCTTCATGGTAGATACCGGTGCCCAGCACTCGGTTCTCACCCACACCACCGGACCCTTCAGCAAAAAGACGTCATGGGTTGAAGGAGCAACTGGAGCCAATCGATACCGATGGACTACCTTTAAAAACAGCCCAACCCTGTTTGACGAGGCCCTCCACCACGATTTGACCACCTTCAGGGCCCAGCACACCAACTTGGTCCTACTACAGTACGTAGATGACATCCTGCTCGCCGCTCTTACAAGAGAGGAGTGTCTAACAGGTACGGAGCACCTCCTCCAGGAATTGGGAAAACTCGGGTACAGAGCCTCAGCAAAGAAAGCCCAGGTCTGCCAACAGGAAGTGACTTATCTGGGGTATAGGCTCAGAGAGGGGCAACGATGGCTAACCCAGGCCCGTAAGGAGGCCATCTCCAGTATCCCAGTCCCTCGGGACCGTAGGCAAGTAAGGGAGTTTCTGGGAACAGCCGGATTCTGCAGACTATGGATTCCCAATTTCGCCGAGAAAGCAGCCCCGCTATATCCCCTGACCAAATCAGACAGCAATTTCACATGGGGAGAGCAGCAGCAGTTGGCGTTTGAAAGTATCAAGCTAGCCCTCCTCGAGTCTCTGGCCCTAGGATTGCCAGATTTGACTAAACCATTTGAACTCTTCCTTGATGAAAAGCAAGGATATGCTAAAGGGGTCCTTACACAAAAACTAGGGCCCTGGAGGCGTCCAGTGGCATACCTTTCTAAAAAGCTAGACCCAGTGGCGGCCGGGTGGCCACCCTGTCTTCGAGTGGTAGCCGCCCTAGCAATCCTGGTCAAGGACGCCAACAAGTTAACTTTGGGACAGCCCCTGGTGGTCTGAGCACCTCATGCGGTCGAGTCGTTCATTTGCCAACCACCCGACCGATGGCTGTCTAACGCCCGGCTGACCCACTATCAATCCCTGCTGCTGGACGTGGACCGTATCCAGTTCGGATCCCCAGTCAGCTTAAATCCGGCCACGCTCCTGCCTCTGCCCGGGGAGAGCGACGGACATGACTGTCAACAGATCTTGGCAGAGGTACTGAGCGCCCGACCAGACCTAAGTGATCAACCCCTGAAAGAAACCAACCACACGTGGTTTACAGATGGTAGCAGTTTCCTCTTTGATGGGCGCCGCCTTGCTGGAGCTGCAGTGACCACGGACTCTGAGGTAATATGGGCCCGGGCTCTGCCAGAAGGAACCTCGGCTCAAAGAGCAGAGCTAGTTGCCCTTGCCCAAGCTCTAAAGTTGGCAGAAGGAAAAAGACTTAATGTTTACACTGACAGTCGGTATCCTTCACCACCACCCACATACATGGAGAGATATACAGGAGAAGGGGGCTCCTCACCTCTGCAGGAAAAGAAATCAAAAACAAAAATGAAATTATAACTCTGTTAGAAGCTATATTTCTCCCCAAAAGACTCAGCATCATGCACTGTCCGGGCCACCAAAAAGGAGAAGATCCTGTGGCAAGAGGAAACCGCCTGGCTGACCAAGCGGCAAGAGAGGCCGCCACTAAGGAACAGACACTTTTATTGGTAGCCCATTCGAGTCCGGACAGAAAGGCTAGAGAAAATGATTATTCAGAAGAAGATCGAAAGCTCTACCGGGAGATGGGAGCCACCTATGACAAGGAGAATCGATGCTGGGAATACCAGGGGAAATTGGTTCCTCCCATGAGAGAGGTATGAGAACTCCTCGATCAACTTCACAAGTGGACTCATCTGAGCCCATCAAAACTAAAGACGTTACTAAAAAGAGAAGAAGCCCTATGTTATCTCCCACAAAGAGACACCATCCTGCAAGAAATAGCTAGCAGGTGCCGAGCCTGTGCCCTGGTCAATTCCCACAAAGGTAAAATGGGAGCGGGATCCAGGGAAAGGGGCCACTGCCCGGGTGTACACTGGGAAGTGGATTTTACTGAAGTCAAACCTGGGAGATATGGGTATAAATATTTACTAGTTTTCATAGATACCTTCTCGGGTTGGCCCGAAGCTTTCCCCACTAAAACTGAAACTGCAAAAACTGTGACGAAGAAACTGTTAGAAGAAATTTTTCCCCGCTATGGGATGCCTAAGGTAATAGGATCTGACAATGGGCCCGCCTTCGTCTCCCAAGTAAGTCAGATGGTGGCCAGACTATTGGGGATTAATTGGAAGTTGCATTGTGCTTATAGACCCCAGAGCTCAGGACAGGTAGAAAGAATGAATAGGACAATAAAGGAGGCATTGACTAAATTTTCACTTGCAACTGGCACAAAGGATTGGGTGGACCTCTTACCCCTGGCCCTATATCGGGCCAGGAATACCCCGGGCCCCTTTGGGCTCACCCCCTTTGAAATTCTTTATGGAACCCCTCCCCCCGCAGTAGCCTTTCTAGACTCTGATGTATCTAACTTTGCAAGTTCTCCTTCCTTGCAGGCCCACTTAAAGGCCTTGCAGTTAGCTCATGAAGAAATTTGGAAACCTATAGCAGCAGCTTACAAAGACTCCTCTGACACCCCTATTGCCCCCCACCCGTTCCAGCCTGGCGACACTGTCTGGGTGAGAAGACACCAGACACGGAATCTTGAGCCCCGCTGGAAAGGACCTTACACCGTCCTGCTGACAACCCCTACCGCGCTCAAGGTAGACGGCATCGCTACTTGGGTCCACGCTTCACACGTCAAGGCCACGAACCCAGAACACAGGGAACTACTCGGCAAAGAGAGATGGCGGCTGACCCGGACACCCAACCCCCTAAAGATAAGACTGGTCAAAGAAAAATGATAATCATGTTACTCTGGGTAAATCTATTTACTTATGAATTTGCTCCCAGTAATGGGAGCCCCCATACAGCTGTGCCGACCACCTGGCGAGTAATTAATCAAATGGGCATTGTAGTGTTTGAAGTCCACAAAACAAAAAAAATCAACCGGCTTCCCTGAGGCACTAACCTTTGATGCCTGTAAGGGTCTGGGCTCCAGTTCTTGTATTTGGGCTAGTACAGATGGAGGTGATGTCTATCTCTGCCCAGGACAGAAACAACCTAAGGAGGGCTGTGGGGATATGAGCGATGGATTCTGTCGTAGTTGGGGTTGTGAGACCACGGGCAGCACCTACTGGAAGCCCTCCTTGAACTGGGACCTGATAAAAGTTGAAAAAAAGACCCCCAACATTCTGATTGGCGGCGGCGGCCGAGCAGGGGCCCAGAGGGGCTATACCAGCATACTATTCAGTCTCACTTTCACTTCAAAGGGAAAAAAGGCTGTCTGGTCCCAACCCCATAATTGGGGATTATTCATGTACAGAAAACATGCACGGGACCCCTTTGGAATAATCACCTTGGAGCGAAAAATATTCTCCCTCGAAAGAAACCAGGCGGTAGGCCCAAATTCAGTCTTACCAGATCAAAGAGCAGCCTCCCAGATAGAACCCGAGAGACGGGAGTCCACTAAAACACCTAATAGTCTCCAGGTGCCAGCCAATACACCAGCTGCCACCATGCCTGGCACAGGAGACAGGCTCCTCAACTTGGTCCGGGGAGCATTCCAGGCGCTCAACCATTCGGACCCGGAAAAAGCTAGAGATTGCTGGCTGTGCCTTAGTCCTCAACCGCCCTATTATGAGGGCATGGCCGTTAAAGGTAACTATACTAACCATACCATGATTTCCCCTGTTTGTCAGGGTGCAGGACATCAGCTCACCCTAACCCAGGTAACTTCCAAGGGAACCTGCATAGGAAAACCTTCTTCCAACTTTAGCCTCTGCAGCGAGGTGGTCCCGGTGCCAGCAGGCACCGGGAAATCAGGAC